AAAACTAATTGAGAACCACTGGTCTAGACCAGGGGTCGGCAGTTTGTCAAGTGAGAAGAGCCAAATTGTCATGAAAACAGGATAAGAAAAGTACCAGAGAGCCGCATATTAATTTAAATATGCGAAATACAACACACAACAGGGGCGACTCTAGTGGACGTTTTTGGCATAATATTACACGGATGGATGGACACGCATTCAATGTGCTATATCTATAGATATGCTTCAAATGCTACAACTCTTATGCGACACACATTGATCAACGCGAGTGTGGTCATGTGCGGACGACGTACGACTCTATCTCAAACTTATAAGTTATAAGGCTGCGGTGAAATGAGGTGAGGTGAAATTGGAGTTTGTCCGAAGAGCCGCAAATGTCTATGCAAAGAGCCGCTTATTCTGACCCCTGGTCTAGACCAGTGTTTCTCAACCCAAAACACATCGCGGACTGGAAAATATCTGCTTTTTTTAAGCGGACCTGTGACAGAATTATTTTTCATTGAAAAAAATTCTTTGTTGTAAAAAGAACTACAAACTACATTGAGCAATAAATATTTGTTATTTATTTACCAGTACATTAGTATACAAATCAATGTTTTTCTTTTTGCTAGTAATCGCTGTTTTTCTTTTTAGCTAGTAAGATCATCAATTCTTGGATTTAAGGTGGTAACTGCAAGGTGTGAGGCAGAACAAACACTATAATGATTTTGTTGTTTCGATTTTATCATTACCATTGCCAAAAATGTTGATTCGCATAAGTACGTTGTTGAAAAAGGTAGTAACATCCTAACTGCCTTTTCATGTAAAACTGGATATTCAGATTTAACTTTAATTCAAAACTGTGTTATGGGCATTTATTCAAACAATGTTTTAAATCCCAAGTCTGAACTTAATTTGATTAGTTTTTTGTGTTCAAAGTCGTTCAATCTATTAGTTTGCTATCAATAAACAGATTAATAATCCACATATTTCCTATTCGGGAATAACGCATGACAGGTTAAATATATATTGTTAAAGTTTTCATGGACCGGTCAGATTAGAGTTGCGGACCGGCGGTTGAGAAACACAGGTCTAGACTATTCCTCAAGTTTCTATAAAAAATTTCTGTTCATTCCTTTTTTTCTCTAATAATTAAATTATTTTACGTTTTTCTATTTTAGTTCCGGACAATTCTGGAACCTCACACTTGTATTCCTATGACGTCATAGTATTATGAAAATTGGGATTCTTAAAACGTATAAAATAAAATAAATACAGAAATAAACAACAAACGAAATTATAATTATATGTTATTAAAATATAGAAGTTCCGTGCAGGGAATTGTAACTACAAATCTCTTTCTTTTGCAACATAATTATAAAAATTGTTTTGGTGTTGTTTTGCACAAAAGCTAATCAAATTTATTTCAATTTTTTAGTAATGCAATTAATTTTTTTTAAATTTACAGCTTTTTAATTTTTAAATTTTAATTATAAGCAAGTTAACATTGGTTAAACTATCGGATTACCTGTTGATTTTTGAAAACATAACTACAGAATATTTATTACAAGTATGATCAATCTTGCCAGTTTTTAAGCCCTACATTTGCCAAAATCAGTGATATTTGTTACCCAACGTCATTTCAGTTAAACTAATTACTAAACTAGGTATCAAAGTTGCGGAAAAAAACGGAAGAGGGGGGGAAAAATATGCTTGCAGTACAGTACAGTACATTCAAGGAAAATTGTAACAACAAATATAAATAGCTTGTGCCAACAACAAGTCAGCGCCAGTATTTTACTGTAAACGTCGGGTAACTATTTATAATTTTTTATGTTGTGTAGTAATGTTTTAAATGTGAAAAACGATTAAATTACAGATTTTTACTATCTATTTACCTATTTTGAAGTGAACATTCTAATAAATTACGATTTCAACTTTTAAAAGTTTGCAAACAAATTTTTAATTAGTTATTTTTTATTCTAATAAACAATTTCATCTTTTTATAATCGCTGAATTATTAAAATTAAAAATTAAACACTATTACATAAAAGTAGTTTATCCTGTTATTAATCCACAACTGTAAAATTATATGGCTTCAGAAAGGTGGAAAAAAAACCATTTCAAAATGGATTCTGGTGTATTTTCTTATTAAAGATTGCAGCATTACTTCTTGCCGCCTGCAGATGGCTATGATTGGTCATCCATATTCAGCAAACCAGATGAACAATGCAGTTAAGCTGACAAATTCCCTGACTTTTTGACAATTTTTTAACAAATTCCCTGACTTTTTCCAAACACTAATGAAAATCCCTAATTTCCCTGACTTTCCAGGTGCATAGGAACCCTGTATATTTTTTGAGTATGTTAATTCTTATTGGTATAACAGATATACATGAAATATTTTGGTATAACAGTATATCTGTTATATAATTTTGGTATAACAGTATATCTGTTATATATTTTGGTATAACAGTATATAACATGTATATCTGTTATACCAATATTTCTTATTGGTATAACAGATATACATGAAATATATTTTATAACAAAATATGAAATATTTTGTTATAAAATAATTTTACATAGTAAGCTATGAAATATTGTAGCTATTATTGATTGCTTTCTTCACACTGAAAATCCTGCTTTTATATATGCACAGGTACTGTTTGTGGTAAGCAGCAACAAGGAAATTCCTACACAGTAGTTTAAGTTCTTAATTTTTCATTATACAAAGTATATATAATTCCCCAATTTGAGGAAGCAACCCTCCCAATCTATAATACTGTTCCTTGAAATTATATCATACTCTAATATGTTATTTTTTGGTACAACTATAATATAAAATCTATTTCAAATCATAAAAAAGCATACTTTGAAACAGCAGTCATTTTGATTGCTGTCAGCAGTCCCAAGTATACAGAGAGTCTTGCAGTTTTAGTGTTAAGTGAGCCAAAAACATTTTTAATGTTTGCTAACCTTAAGAAATTTGGTTAATATTTGTTTAACCATAGTACCAAGCTTTGTGAATCATACAGACAGTGCTTTTTTACGAATAATCTTAACTAGGTTACTATGGTGATATTACTTTAAAAACTGTATTTTGTGCTCTAAACAATTTTATTTCCGTGCAAAATTACTGTTCCAAAAAGACCAAAACTTATGATCTATAACTATTTTTATTATGGTAAAGATAAGTGTTCTTTTTAATATATGTTACCGGCCAAACCCGATTTCAGGACAAACAAGTTTATCCTATGCATGTCAGGATATACTAGTTTAGCCTAGGACAATTTAGTTTGGCCTAAATACTTTAGGCTTAACTAGTTTGTCCTAGGCCGAACTGATTTAGAATTATTATTTAAGTCAGGCCTGACCAACCCAAATTGTTTCATGGGCCACTTTGATCACGCGTAACATTACAATGGGCCACAATTTAGGCAAACATGCTTTTAAAAAAGTAAAACAAATACATAATGAATAAGATTTCATTGTTATACCAAGAGTTTGTACTCGTACTTGTGCATTATAACAATGACACATGCAAATTGTCATTTATTTAATTGTTTTGGTATACACAAAACAGAAAACGAAAGTTTTAATAAATATATTATATCACTTAGTGGGCTATACAATTTAATATGACGGGCCACGGGTTGGCCAGGCCTGATTTAAGTATATTAATGGTTAAAATAAAATTAAAAGACAATCAATTAGATGAACAATATTTATTCATACATAGTCTACTTAATTATAAAAACAGTATTGATTAGAAGAGACAACACTTGTACAAAACTATAAAATAAAAATAAGCTACTCAGTACTTATCAGTTTGTATTTTTTTCTATTAACCTATGCACTTTTAAAGGTAATTAACTTTCGAAAATATTTTCAAAAAGCAAAATAATAAAAATAACTTTTAAAGTCAAACTAAAATTAAAAATGAACTTGTTTGTGTTTCTTAGTGTAGCATATAAAATATTTAATCTTTTATTTATTTTTACAGGGTGGGTTAAAGTGTACCTAGGTAACCCTAATGGCGGCATTTCGGACTCCTCCCGGAGGGGAGCCGCTGGCAGGCCGCCCATTGTTTAACGTCACTAGTTATTGATTCACAGTAGTTCTTGAACAAAAGAAAAAAAGGAAACGTTCACTAAAAATGTAGTTAACCTAACTGAAGCATCGCCATTGGGGTTACCTAGGTACACTTTAACCACCGGGTGTACTGTGATGGCATTTCGAATTACATAAAATCTTTTTTTTTACACTGGCACCTATTTGTAGTACATAAATCAGTTTGGCCTAGGTCAAACTAGATTATTCTAGGCTAAATTGGTATATCCTGACACGTGTAGGACAAACTAGTTTGGCCAGTAACATATATAATGTCTTTACAAATAAAAGAAAAAACATTACTATACAATAATGGCATTTCAAATTAAGAAGTAAATAATGTTTCTTAATGTAGAGGACGTTTTCTAACCAATTGCTGTTCATTCGTCTACCAATTATCTTTTTGGATTACAAAGATGCTACACACTGCAAGTAAATAATGTGTTAATAATCTCTTACAAGAAATAAAAATGTAGTGGTAGATCATTAATTCTTTTGACTCTTGAATGTATATTGACTATAAGTTGGCTAGACTTGTTTTATTGTAAACACCTGAAGATGATAATTTTAATGTTAGTGAAAGTACTTTTGTAAAAAACAAATCATGTGTATCGATATTCTTTTTCTTGAAAAATTACCAAAGACAGTTTTTAATTACCATCTGTATTATGTAGAATTGTTTAATCTTCCTTCTTAACATACTTTACTATGTAATACTTTTTATGTCAATTTACAATTGCAATGATTCTTATTTCAGTTCATCATGTAAAATAATTATTTTTGTATTTCTTTAGCTAGTTTAGGATTATTAGTGATTATCTTGGGTAGCTATGAATGCAATTAAAAATTACTAATTGTTCAAATGTGATTACTCTTATAATAAAATAATATGGACAAACTGAATTTACCAGGAGTTAAAAAATTTGGATCAATTGGTTTGCCTGTGCTTTTACATTCTTCAACTTCTAAATAACTGAGTAAATGAGACCACAAAGCTGATTTTCCCTGTAAAGTATAATTAGTTTAAATATAATATAGTTCAATAGAGATGAATTAAAATCACTAAATTTATAAAAAAAAATTAAAAACAAACCTGTTTTGTTTGTAATCCATGGCTCCAAACACGTTCAAGAAGATCACAAAGACTTGCTATCAAAGTATTCTCTTCAAGGCCTGTAATACTACCTTCAGTATGGCCAAGTTCAATTGCTTCTTGTCCCATCTTTTCAACTAACATTCGTTTTGTCTAATTATCAAACAAAATTATTTTTAATTTAAAAATAGTTATTATTAATAAATTTATGTAAACTGAAATGATTCTCAAAATTACTTACTCGCATTGTACATTCTTTAAGGAGAGCATCAACAAACTTCCAATTTGTCTGTGCAATAAATGCTGGTGAAACATCTGAGAGTTTTGGATGATGAATTCCTTTATTTCTGGCATCAGGAATATATTTCTGTTTTTTTAGATATGATTAAATGTGATAGGTATATGTATATTGCTTTCAGTTACAAAAAATTTAATATATATATATATATATATATATGTAAAATTACTTACATCTTTTTGATCAATAGTTTGCAACAAATGTTCTGCATGTAATTGACGTTTATCTTTTCTTTTCCAATGTGCACTGCTAATTTTTCTAGTTCTACTTATATTAAAGATAATAATAATATCAATAATAATAATAACATATGTTTTCTCATTTTATAATCACTTACTTGCTAAAAGATGGCCCTTGATTTAAAACTTCAAAATCTAAAATAGGAAATGAACCTGACATGCATCTATATTTACAGTCAGTCGAAACTTCTAGACATTTTGGAGGGGAAGCTGTTATATCTATCACAGTTATTCTTGTTTCAATTAAAACTTCTAAAGACAAAATTATAAAAATTTTTGATAATATAATTTAAAAAATAAAAAATAAATTTTTATATCTTAAAAAAATAAACTATTGGATTTTATGAATTTAACAATGTTTTGCTTTGTAAAGTTTGTTTTTACATAAACAAAAGTTTGTGTAAAAATTGTTAAGGCTTATCATACACAGCAATCATATATTAAGGTTTATCACACATAGTAAGTATTACATTCATTTTTAGTGTAATAATCATAATTTTTGAATTTTACAGTTTTTATGATAACCAAAGTTCAAAGTTTTAAATATTTGATTGCTTTGTATGATAAGCCCTAATCTATGGTTTACAACTTTTTTGTTATGTAAAAACAAATGCAGTGGTACGTTGGTATACATCTGCTTTAGAATACGTCCAAATCGGAATACGTCCTGTTTGGACGAAACAAATTTTGCTCGGTATACGACTTAATTCAATTATACACACCATCTATGAACAAGTATCACTATCTGTGTATTAGACCAGACTAGACGTTCGCGGTGCCACGGTTTATAACTTTGTTAAATTTCTTCTGATTTTAATTTGTAAGTAAAATTTTATTATTTTTATTAATCATGAATTGCAAAAAGGCAACAGAAAAATAAAAAAATGAATAGAATCACAATGGAACTGAAAAAAGAGATTGTTGAGAAATATGAAGGTAGCATGTGTGTTTGAGATGTAACTGTTGCACACCATATTCTGAGAATGACGATATCAACAATCGTGAAAAATAAAGACATTATTAAATTTGCTAACATTGCAAAAGAGGTTAAATCAATTTCTAAACATAGATCAAAGACATTAGATCATGTTGAGAAATTGCTTTTGCTTTGGATAACTGTAAAACAGTGTGCTGGTGACAGCATATCAGAAACAATTATTTGCAAGAAAGCTAAAAAGATACATGCTGATCTCATGAAAAATCAAGCAGAAACTAGCCAGGAAAGCGAGGTGTTTAAAGCCAGCCATTTTTTTTACATGAGAAAGGATTAATCATTTTTACATTACTTCTTATGGGAAAGGTTGGTTTGGTATACGTCTTATTCGGTATAAGTCCAAACACCAAGAACGGATTACGGTCGTATACCGAGGTTCCACTGTATGTTAAAAACTTTTGATTATGACTAATAATATATATGAAGTATCATTTTTGAAGATTTTATGCTATTTCCTAATACATAGAATAATAATGCACAAAAAAATTCATACATTTTAAATCATAATGAAAATTAAACTGAGGTTACTATTATAAAGTACAATATAAAAATAATTTGCAATGCAAACTTTTTACTGCTTTTGTTTATTAAATGCATATTCAGATATACAAAAAAGTAAAAATATCTATAAGCTATAAAAATATAAAAATTCTAAATTATTAACTATTAAATATTCTACTAATAATAACAAATATTTGAATGTGCTATTATAAAATTTAAAAAACTGAATAGAAATTACATACTAATAAAATTCCTATGCAGTTTTTAATATAACTACCATTGACAAATCCCTTAAAACAATATTTTCATGTATTCATTTTAATTTAGAGATATTTACTAATAAATATTATGAGTTTATAAATAATTATAACTGATTTTCCAATTAAATGGAATGCAATTTAAACTTTTTAGCAATGCATTGATAATTTCTAAATTCAAAAAGATTAGTCAATTGAAAATATTATCATCATAAATGTGTGTGTTTGTTTGTGTATATACAGGGTGTCTCGGTTAAACATTTCAGAACTTCTAAGAGGGGTAGGGTGCATCCCAATGACTCAGAATCATATAGCAATGCAGGGTCGGAAATGCTTTCCTGAAGCAGTGATGTACACAGAAACATCATAAAAAAGAAGACCGTAAGTGAATATTCGTTTTAATAATAAATGTACAAAAACAAAAGGAACATGGGTCAAAGAAAGTGTTTGTAGTTTCTTCCACTGACTGCAATGCAGACTTCACATCTATGGCGCATGGAATTCCAAACATTCTGGAATAATCCAGGCTCATCTCAAATTTCTCTGGCAGCTACTGCGATTCTTGCAACCAGCTCCTCAGCATTGTCAATGGGGGTGTCATAAACCTGTGTTTTCATATGCCCCAGAAATAAAAATCAAGACATAATAGGTCTGGTGACCAAGCAGGCCAACGCATGGGACCACCAAGTCCTATCCACTGTTGTTGGCCAAATGTGACATCTACAATGCCATCTATTGCATCAGGAAAGCATTTCCAATCCCACATTGCTATATGATTCCAAGTCGTCGGGATGCACCCTACTCTTCTTAGAAGTTCTGAAACGTTTAATTGAGACACCCCTGTATAATAAATTAGCCAAAATTTTGAATTTTCATTGAACATTTATTTATATTATTGATAATTTATCCTTCCAATATAGCTGGTAGCTTACTTCAGGAAAGTGTGTTTTGTGTTTGTTATTTTTAACACATCGTCGATTGGTGATCAAAATCAAGTATCGCCAATAACGAGTCAAAACCATGTGTGATGTAAAGTCAATTTCTATATATTGCCAAAACTTAAGTGATGCATACCTTTTAAGCATTCTCATTATCATCATCAAAAAACTCACAACTTTATACTTGAAAATTTTGTTCCCTGAAAATGATGTTTTTATGGCTCGCCTGTAAAATTTTAGAAAATGCAGATACAAGGTTTTGATCACCAACCAACAATACGAAATTATTACAAAAATAAATAAATTGGTTCTTTTTCTATGACTGTATAAATTTGATTTTCAGTAATGTTTTCTTTACATAATAAATAAAGTTAATTGAAATAAACTGAATAGATTTTATTCAATTTATTTCAGTTTCAACTTACAGAATTTAATCAATAAATTTGAAGAAAGCATTCTATCAACAAAAATAAAAATAAGTTAGGAAAAAACTATTTTATATTTTCTGATTAATAAATCAATGAATTTTGTATGTATATATGAATATAATATTCTTACCTGTATCTCGGAATGTCCCACATGGTTCATAAGCTGGAATTCTTACCATACTATCACTACAACATTCTTTGAGTAACTTGATTCGAGAATCAAATACCTTTAAAAATAAATTAATTAATATATCCAAAATATGCATAAGCAAAAAATAAAACAAAATTTATTACCTTCAAATATGGATCACACTCTTCCCATTGAGATAAAATTTTATTATCAATGAGTGTTGCAAACATCTGTGTCTCAATAAAACGTGATAAAAAAGGCAATGATGGTTCTGGCTGATCAGAAAGGAAAGCTGTCTTGTCAAAATTTTGCATTGTTTCTCTTGAACTTAACCATTGATCGGTATCTTGCTACATACCAATTGTATAATAAAAATATTTAAACTTTAGAATGAAATTAAATTATTGATTATTAACATTTTATTATTCATTTAGATGATTAAAATAAAAGATCTTTCTAGAAAAAAAATGTATCATTCTACAGAGAGCATATACAAGTATACCTTATACAACATGGTACTTCTAAACAGGGCTGTGGAGTCGGAGTCGTGGAGTTTTGGTGTTTTAGCCAGAGTCGGAGTCGTCAAAAAATCCGCCGACTCCGACTCCCTTTTATTTATCAACTTGTTATGTATATGAAACAGAGTCAGAGTTGGAGTCGGAGTCGGATGGTAAGGAAAAGCTGGAGTCAGTAAATTTTTACGCGACTCCACAGCCCTGCTTCTAAAACAGTTTTTCTCTAACAGTTTGAAAATTGGGGATATCCCCATACAACACAATTTCCGGTTTCATTCTAACACATTTCTGGAAATCTGTACAAAATTTCACAATTTTAAATGTAAACGTCATTATTCTATATCTTTTTTTATTCAAGTAAGCATGCATGTTGTCTCAAATTTGCCCATGGATTTTACAATATTGAAATTTTCAGATTATTTTATGCTTTTTGTCAGGTTTATTTTTAATGAAAACTGATAGGACAAAAAAGAAAAAATTGCACCAACTTTCCTATCAACCAGGTGCTGTTGTCACTATTTTCAGACTTTAGTCAAAAAGACTGTCAGTGTGTTTTCTTTTTATAGATTAATCTTCATATTTAGGAAAGTTTATTTAAAAATTTTAGGTAAGTGTTATTAATCTTTTTTACTTAATTACTTACTATCTATAAATGATTACTTCATTCATAAAAATGACAAACAAAATACAGTGGTATCTTGGTATTCAAACAATTTGACATTCAAACATAAATTCTGGAAAAAAGTCGCTCAGTACTCAACTGAGCAAACACAACCCACTAGAACAAATTTTTTATTAATAACATATTTTTATTTTGTCATCCATAAAAATATTTTTATGACCAAAATAAAAAATGTTAAAATGTTGCTGATCCTTCTGATCGAGATCAACAAGCACAGATGACAACAATACTTTGTAAAAAGAAAATGCCCTTGTTTAACTAAAATTAATTTTTAGTTAACTGTGATTGTTAGTTAATTATTGGTTGTACATAAATTATCAATTGCTTTAATAAACATATTTCTCTTAGTAACAAGAAAAAAATTGTATACTTTTGCCAACTTCTGGAACATAACCCTATGCTATGCTTTGCATTAGTCCTTTGTTTCGTATAGCATGGTTGCATAACATGGCACTTTTTCAGAATGTAACTATAGTGTTATACGAGGGACATCTGTATTTTACTAAAAAACTCCTACATCATTATTATTTTAAAGACAAAAATGCCTTTAATACTTTTTCAATATGAATCTATACTTCTATTCAATAATAGAATAGCAATGATTCAAAGAATATAAAACAAGATATATTGACAGAGATGCATTGACATTTACACATTGAAGCAACTATCAATACCAAATAATTTCAATGAAATATTTTTCATAGAATTATAATTAGTCTCCAGAATTTTATACTACCAAAATGGAAAATTTTAAATTAAATGATAATTATTTTTCAGTTTTATAGTTGCATTTCAAAAATAAATAATAAATAAAATTAATCCCCATTACAAACTGATTTAGCTTAGAGAAAACAATGTTAAGTATATATAAAGTTTGAAACAATCATTTTGAATATAATTCATAAAATATTCTTAAGTAAATTTATTTTAAATATTAAAAGATTGCTTACATAATTCAGACTGAACACAATAATCAAACAACTGATTTAGTTTATGAAAATACATCAAAATATTCTAAAATAAATCAACTAATTTTATAGCAAAATCAAATTACATCATCATATTCTATATGATCTATGGAAAAATTAATTAGATTTAATAGATATTTTTAGAAAATCAAGTAGCCAATTAAATAACTTAGAATTTCTAAATATACCCATAAATTCAGAATACTTATAATTCCACCAATTGCAACTAATTATATTAAAATATTCATTATTTCCTATTAAATTTCTAATCAAAATTAAATTAAAATTTTAGTGTACATAATTTTTACAAGCATTTAATAATCATGTGTGTAATTTTCTGACATTAAAAAAAAAGCTTTTTAATTAAATGCATATTATGACTGAAGTGCCAATCAGAACACAGATTTATTGAATAAACTGGCTCAATTCAAGCTCTGGATGAGACAGCTGGGATCTTATTAGAGCTGTAGAGCATACCCATAGAAGCAAAATGTCAAAAAAAAAACCATACCTCTACAAGTAACTCTTCACAAGATACATCCCCAAAATCAGGTCATGTAAGACTGTGAATTGTGTCACTCTGCTAAGACTACCACATTTAACTATTTAGCTCACGTAACTATGCAGGCTTCGAGTAGCCTACTTGACTGTTCACAGAGTACTTGATGGTATATAGTTTGAGGAGGTGTGGAGGCTTGCCTCCACCCAGGAGCTGAGGTGCTCGCTATTGCTTGCACTGAAACGCATGATTACACATGGGGCATCAGTCAAGATGAGTGATAGCAAGCCTTGACAACACTGAGAATGGAGAATAGGCAGTATACTGATACATGTTAAAAACTGACTTTTGGAGGCAAATATCTTGTAAAGGGTTTCATGTACAGGTATGGTTCCCTTTGACTTTTTTGCTCATATAGGAAGTCTACAATTCTCTAAAGGTGCAAAATCCCTCATTCAGAGCTTAAATCTTACTGAATAAAACTTCCCTATTACAGCATACATTATTGAAGTTATATGTATGTATTTTCAATAAATCTGTAATTTATTGAAGTACATTTAAGTAATTAATGTATAAGATTCAAATTTAATGACAAATTACAGCAGTCTTATGTCTTAAATTACTTCAATGTAATTTAAGACATAAGACAGCTCTAATTTGTATAAGTTACTTACTTGATTTGGCTGAACAACAAAATGTTCATATGAACAAAACATATGAATAAATCGATTGAAAAATATTTCCCTTATTGCATTATTCAACTTTAATGTATCTAAATATTGTCTAGATTCTTCAGATTCTTTATTAAGTTTAGAATTTCCTTCATTATCTACTTTTCCTTGTTTTTCTAAATCTTCTAATGACTTAATTACACCTAAAAATATTGTTTTTTTAAATAAACAAACAATGTAATTTTTGATATATCCTTAAGTCAAAAAATATGAAATTTCTTTAAATTAAATTTACCTGTCCTTTTTGCAATAGCAGTAATTTTTTGAAGAGCTTCACTTTGTTGTAGAATATGATTATGCATACTTGCTAAACTACTGTATGAACTACGTGCACTACTGTCTTTACTATTAAACCCAGAATCTCCACTTTCAAAACTCCAAGATAATTTTCTTGCATGCCGCGAACCTCTCCTATTTAAATTGTGATAACTCTTTCCATTTGTATTTATGGGTACTCCAAATCTACTTAGTGCACTACATATCTCAGATATAAGTTCATTCCTGAATGGTAATTTAGGTATATCTTCAGGAACTTCAATTAGTTGATTGTCAATATCAACAAAACAGAGATTTGCCTACAAAAATATAATTTATAAATAATATAAATAATTATTTTTTCAATTATAATAATAATTGAAAAAATTACTTCTCCGGGTATAGATAATGATGTTCTATCTTCAACACTTTGATGCAATCCCATAATATAAGGAACTGGAGCATCCAAAAAGTGATGTAACGATGCTGGTAAGATAGGAACATATACATGTTGCCAAGTATATGGAAATAACAACATTGTAATACATTCAGCTACTAACATTAACTTGTGATAATCTGAAAATGAAAAAAAATATTTAAAATTAGATATAATAATTTGCAAAATGTGTATAATAATAGTAATTTACAAAACAACTATTCTAGTCTTAATTTCAAAAACAAATTTAAACTATCAGATTCAAATCCAAAAACTGAATATATGAATTAATTTACTTCAAATTTTAATAAAATCCTTTGCTAATAGCAAAACTTTAACAAACAATATAAAACAGGTATTAAAAATGAGACGTTTTTAAAAAATAAAATTAGATTTGTGAGAATTAATTTTAAAAATAAACTTAGGATGTAATCATTTTCTTAGTAGTAAAGATTATAAATTAGATTTTATTACCAACAAAATTTGAATTACTAATCTGAAATAAACAATAAAACTTAGAGGGAAGGAATGTATTATTCCATATTTTTTATGCAAAGTATAAATATACAAGCTGACAATTACATTATAAAATTTATTACTATAAAACCTACAATAGAAGATTGGAAATTACCTATGCCATTTTTCAATGGGATGTATGTCATTTTATAAAGATTGCCTCCCTGATAAATGTACTGTAAGTCTTTTTTCTGCAAAATGGTTTGTTTCCATAAAAAAGCCAAAAAAAATTAATCATGGCATTTAAATAAGGTAAAATGTAAATATTCAAGAAAGAAGTGGATGATAGCAGAGTTGTCTAGTTCGTTAGTTCTGCATTTCAATGTGCAGAAGGTTGCAGATTTGAGAATAATTGAGAATTTTTTATATTCCACCACTTAAATATCTTTACAGAATGTGTAAATGCTTATTATTAATCCAATTAGTATGTTTTAAACTGCATTTAATGGCTTTTTTTTAATCACTTTTATTAATTATTTTTGCACATTTGGAAATAATACTAGAAAATCTGACAGAAGAAGAAGCCCCTTTTGTTTCAAAAAGTATACAGTTTAAGATCAGTAAAAAAAAAATATAATCAGTTTACAAAAAACAATTCCTTCCTGCTATAATTTGAAGGAAGTGTGAGAAATCAGGGGGAGTCTGATTGATATCATTTTAAACCCCTTTGTTTGACGTCAGGACAGTTAGGCCCAGTCAATAATGTCACTGGGTGGCTTTAGTTTAGCAGGGTAACCTAAGATCAGAAGATCTTAAGTCAGATTCTTTTTTCTGATACCAGTTAAGAAATAATGCATCTTAACTCGCAATTATACTTGTCTAAATTCGGAACAGAGGGGTGGATCGAGTGGCAGAGTCGGTAGGTATGTTGACAGGCATCCATTCTCCAAGTAAAGATAGGCTGCCAGGTTAACAAATAACAAGTTTAATAAGCAAAATAAAATGATTACACTAGTTATAGCACTACTTCTACAGACAGGCATAATTGATACTATAGTTTGATAATAAATCTAAAGAGACAAAATATATTGACTATCTAGCTACTTATGTCTAAGTCAATGGAGAGAGAGAGAGAGAGAGAGAGAGAGAGAGAGAGAGTTTACATAAATCATTCAAGTAGAATACCTCTTATAGTGGGTCAATTAGTGAGACTTCTCTGGAGACAGTGTTTGATGGAGACACTCGATGTCTGCTTCAGAGGGGAGAGGAGACAAGAGTAGGCGAGATGTTTGGCAGTTGGAAAGAGTCTGCCCCAAATCTTTGATGCAAACCTCTTTTATTCCTGACAGTTTCCCACTGAGGGTGAGAATGAGAATTTTTGTCAGGTGATTCTCTATCACAAGATGACCCATTGGCCATAATATGAGTTGTCACAAAATCAAAATGAAGACGATTTGGACGAAGTTTTATTTTTTCTCTCCTGTCCTTGTTTAAGTATTGTGACTGACTGACACACACACACACAATCTGTCATTATCACTTGTTAATCTAAACATTCCCACAGGAATGAAAGGGGGGGTCTCCAGAATCTCACAGAAGCATTCTGCAAATATTTCTTTCAAATTAGTTACTGAGGAGTCATTGACATTGGAAAGTCAAAAAAGAATGATTACTTTGGCAGGAGAGAGGTAAAATTGCTAGATAATCAGAGCACACAAATCAAAATTTATAGCACCAGCAGGAAACAAATTTATTGTTAAAAACATCATGGTGTTGCTAAAAAAATATGTTCATTTATGGATATTTTTTACCTTTCAATTATTTAACAGATAATTAAAATACAGTATATGAAGCATGCAATGCCATAATGTTGTACATGCCATTTTTCTCTAAATATGTGTTATTCAAAAAATGAGTTCTAAATGCAATGTTTTCTGCTGCAAAAAATATTGTGGCAATAGTGGCACTGTAAGTGGCTGTATTTTGAAGTTGAATTTATGTGCAAGCCATAATGTTTTAAGTGCCAAAGTGCAAGTTACATGAATTCTGGCACTTACGAGTTTTGTCCAAAAAAATACATGGACTGTTTGAATTGCACGGCTCCAGTTTGTTCCAGGGGAATCAGCTTGGTGTCACTAGGTTTGTACAGATCGTCTGGTGATAAAGCCATTTCCCAATTACAGATATTTTTATTTGTCAATTAGCTACATGGTTTTTAGTGAAGTGCGATTTTTTCGTTTGTCGGATTTCAGAATGAATGACCTAATGGAGCAACAACTTGCTGTGAAATTTTGTGTTAAGCTTGGAAAATCTGCGACTGAAACATTTGCTATGCTCAACCAGTGGGTGAGTGAAATGTCCCCATACCCAAAAAAGCTCGCCAAGATCAATCCAATGTCAAGATGATGCTGACAGTTTTCTTTGATGCTAAGGGTGTTGTTCACCACGAGTACAGTACCTCCCCAAGGCTCCACAGTGAACCAGACTTACTATGTTGAAGTTCTGAAATGTCTGAGGGATGCCATCTGTTGCAAAAGGCCAGAAATGTGGAGGAGTGACGATTAGTTTCTCCATCACGACAATGCTCCAGCCTATTCAGCCCTCATAACTTGTGAGTTTTTGGCCAAACACTCGATCACTGTTCTTCCCCACCCCCCTACTCACCTGACCTTGCTCCTTGTGACTTTTTCTTGTTCCCCAAACTCAAAAGACCCTTGAAAGGAAGAAGATTTGAGGCGATTCCTGAGATTAAGGCAAATGTGACGAAGGCATTACAAAAGAAGCATACCAGGACTGTTTCAACAAGTGGAAACACCGTTGGGATAAGTGTGTGTGTTGGGAAGGAGAATACTTTGAAGGGGACCCAGACATGTAACTTCTACATAAAGTACATTTTGTTTTATAACGTCAGTCCGCATATTTTTTTAACAGACCTCATAAAATGTAAAGGCTTATGTTTACATCATTTTATTATTTCAGAGAATTTGTAACCTAGTGAGTTTTTTTACCATTTTATTATAAAATTGAAATGAATTCCTTCAAGACTTGTAAGAATGCCATTCACTAGAAAAAGTGTTTTTTTTTTTCCTCTCTCCTGAAAAGTTTTGTTTTTTAGCATTTACAACATTATGGCATTGCATGCTTCATGTATGTATGTAATCTTGATTTTTAAATTATTTCCAATCTTTGTTATTCTTACTAGCTGTCAATTAATCCATTTGCTGTAATAAAGGTAATCAAGAAGAACATTACTTAAGATGGGAAATAGCCATTATTTAAATGTTATGATTAATTTGATTTTAGCTTTTTTTACAGAAACAAAGCATTTTGCAGACTTTCAATATATTTCTCAGAAAGGCAATCTCTATAAAATAATATATACATTCCATTAAAAATGATTTTAGTAATGCACACACTTCCTTTGTCAGACTAATCTAATTTTTCATTAAATTCATATCAATTATTAAAATTATTTTATTGTAATTAAATTTCAAAAGATCTTTGATGTAAAATAATAATTCAAGATTTTATTAATTATATTTATTGTCTTGATTTTTAAAATTATTGTACATATTAAAAAATACTAAATGAATTTAAAATTTATGTTACAATCAAATAACTCAATTTATTTTGATAATAAAACTTTATATCAAGATATGTTAAATTCTGCTTTAATCTAAATTTAATGAAAGATTTTAAAAATATCTACCTTCTGAAAATAAAAGTATTTGATTTTCTAAAAGGACACTGGTGAATAATTGGATGGCATTTTCAACACCAAGTGTCAAAAAAAATTCTTTGTATGAATATTCGAAGAATGGCAACTCTCCATTTCCTACAAAATTATCACAGAATTGTATAATAATTAAAAATTTTTATGATAATTTATTTTCTCAATAAAAATAATTACCTGGCCTTTGGCACAAAACATGTTGGCCAAAACAAGAAAACTTTAAACTACGTCCTGCTGAAGGAAGAGGTACCTCATAGAGGATATTATATACATAACTTTCTAATGGCAGAGATGAAGGGGGCTTATCAACAACAAGATTATAAAGTCCTTCAAGAAATTTACAACAGGATACAATAGCAGGAAGCGGAGTTATTAAACAGATACATTTTGTTACAAATAATGTATCTTGTGTGTAATCATATAGAGTGGCATGTTGTGTCGACTGGCGTGAACTGAGTTTAAAAGAACGTGGAAGAGACCTTGTACCACTCATGTCACACGCAGTATTTACCATTTGTGCTCGACTGCTACTCAACTCGGTAATATGCATTGCCTGATGATAAAAATACATTTTTATTAATATTTATCATTTATTCTTTTATTTATTTTATTCATAATTTAAAATCAATACCTGTAAAGTTTGCATTGCTGCACATATTCTTTTGTCTGTAACTTCCTCATAAAATGTAAGTGCATGACCATAACTACGAGAACCATCTTCTCTTGTTATAATGAATGAATGAAAATATGGATCGCGAGTATGTTTCTGTGTTCTAAAAGTAAGTCCTCTAGGAAGACAGAGCTGTAATTTTCAAGATATATATTAAAAATTGTTTTTATAAAAATAATAATGATGAAGTGTTGGATTAAAATATTTTACCATTCCAACTGCACTTTCATCAAAAGGATTCCAGGACACATTTTCTGGATAATGTGCAAGTACTTTTGATCTGAAAGGCCTGTCCAGAGGAGTACAATGTAAACTATCACCTGAAAAAATATAAAAAAATAAAATATTTTAATTATTAAAGTTGAAAATTATAATATAAAAAATTCATATTTTCATCATTTAAATTTATATTTACAGCATGTCAATTAATAATCAAAACCAGCTAAATTTTCTTAGTTAACCATTAAATAAATAAAAGTGTCTTTTGGCATTAAAATTCTTTATGATGTTGAAATTCATTAAAGAATTTTAACACCTAAAGACAGTTTTATTTATTTAATGAACAATTATTGGGATGAAGAGTATACTTTTATTTCTTAATTAATCTTTGCAGTACTAAATTAATTAATTAAAAAGGCAAAAAAGAAACAAACAAAATCCCAATCACAACCCATACAAACATCTGTAATTAGGTCATCTACACTTTCATTTAATCAATAATTTAAAAACATCTAGAAAAAAGCCAATTCAAAGTTACTCTATAAATTGCAGCCCTTTTATTTTGCAACTGATTACTATTTACTTGTATTAATCATACTAACATTCTGTTTAACTGAATGACATTATTGTATGTAAATAATTATGTGTTTCACTTGACAATGATTACCATAAACTTAAAAATGATGTACAAGTAAATGGCAACTAACTAATAACTGACTATTAATCAATAAGACAATTGAAATCATTGCTTGATACCTTTATTGTAACCTTAATTTGTATACTTATATAATTCTTAGTGGTGGACTGAATATTTGACATTATTCATTGGGTATTTGGCTAAACTATTTAGCCAAATAATCTAGTTGGGAACAAGGAGAAAAGAAGAAAAAGAAGATAAAACACAAAATAAAATTAAAAAAAACGTTAAAATGTCAGAAATTTAAAAAAAAAAACTGTTTATTTATTCTTTCTGAAACAATGCTAAAAAAACAATTTTGTGCAAATATTATTAATAAATAATCATAATTCAAGAGTGATAAACTGTAATGAAGGGACATTAATTCTTTTGCATTTGTAGGAAGCGACTGATTTTGTCGGTTATGAATACTTCCAACTTCACTGAACATACTGTACATTCACTGAATATATTACTTGGTGGGGGTGCCAAAAATGATGAGTCTTAATATTAAGATTTAATTTTAATTTTCAACATATAATCAGTAATAAATTTTTAAAATAAAAACTTATATAATCTTTATTATTAAACAGATGCTGAATTCCACTTTTTGCTTCATGCAACTCCAAATCAATCAGCTGATATTTGGCAAAATTTTGGGTATTCAGTAATCAAGGCAAAAATATTTGGTATTCTGTATTCAGTAACAGTAACATCTGAACAATTATTCAGTATACAGCCAAAAAATCCTACTCAGCCCATCCTTATAATCCTTAAAAGTTTTTTAAAAATTTTAATATTAATGTAACAAGTAATTTTCTAGTCAGAAAAAACAGTTTTATTATGCTTTTTAAAAAGCTTTTAGCATCACAACCATTATATTTAAATTACTTTTGTTATTGTATCATAAATCTACATCTCTCAATTAATAAATAATATTTTTAAAAACATTATAAAACTAAAGTTATGAAATAAAACAATCTGTTAAATAACTTTGCACTATCCTACAAATCTAATGCTAATATCAAAAATTCATCAGAGACAATAAGTTATGTAAAATTTATTGTATAAAATATCATTTTCAATAATACTATTATTATTTGAAATGAAGGCAAAGAACATACCAGTAAGAAATGCAAATATTTTTACATTTTTATGACAACAGATGTTTTTAAAGCATTTAAATACTGAAAATGAACAGCTGTATGTTGAAAGTAAATTAAATTTAACTTGCTAAATGTCTTTTAAATTTAAAAGAACAATTTTCCAAACAATTCATTTTAACAATATAATAAATAACAACAAGAAAAAAAAATTATATATATATATATATATAATATGGAGTTAATTATTAATCACAACATATAGATTTATTGATTTAAGTTAAGATTTGATTTTGTTGACTTTCATAAACTAGAAATACTCCGAAATTATATTGCAAAATTTGTCTTCCAATCAGTTCATCATTTATTTTGTTGTGTTGTTCTGAACTTAGTTGACTGTATGATTTGCTATTATCAATTAATTTGCAAACCAACTAACCAATCTTTCAAGCAAAATATATGAAAGTTAATTATTTATTTGTTATAAATGAAACATTTGTCATTTTAAAATGATAAAAATTACATTGAGATATGATAAAGCAATGTTTTCCATAAATATGATCTATTTCATTATTTTCATTTAGTTTTATTATTATTCTATCTTTTAAATCTATAATCTTTTCTCTTTCTTATATCATCATCTTTATCACTTTCATTCTTCCTTTATTTCAATACCAGTGGTTCTTTTGTAGACCCCACCTGCAACCTGGTGTGACCTACTTCTTTGTAAAGTGTTGGTTTCAGTTTCAGTGGGGACAGAACATTTTGCTTTTAATATATATATATATATATAAATATTTAATATATATATACATATATATATATTAAAAGTTATCTGTATATATATCTATACTAATATTATAAAGAGGTAATGTTTGTATGTAGGGGTAATCTCCGAAACTATTCATCCGATTTCAAAAATTCTTTCACCGATATTTAGAATGGAAATTCAGGGTGGACATAGGCTGTATATTATTCCATTAAACATTCATGTAAATTAAAAGATATCATCTAGGGTGAAGGCTTTTATGTCCAACAGATGGCTACAAGTACGACAATCTAAGTTTGCTTTTCTGTGAGATGAACTAAAGCAGATCATCTTCTGTCTGTCTATATAAATAAAAATGTAATGTTCATTTGTTCCTACCGATTCCTTTGAAATTCTGACACAACGCTGCATTTGAATTCGCACGTGTTTTTATATAATATACATGTCGAAATTTCCCCACTGGGGGAGATGGACAGGATTAATGCTTACCGTAAAGAACTCTGCTTCTATTTATACTATTTTAGATGCGGTTTTTTGCGTTTTTGATTACGTTTTAATAGGGTACGTCAAGAGAATGTACACTAAGAAGGGATTTTTTGAAAAATTCTCCCCCACGGGGGAAGTGTTATACATTTATAATAGATACATTTTGAGCCACAACAACGTGTGGCGGGATCTGCTAGTGTGTATATATATATATACACAAATTGGCATAAGAAAATATAAAGTAAATTATTGTATAATAAAATACAGACTAAAAATTTATATATGGAGCTGATGTTCAAATAAAAAAATATCATTAATAATTGCCTTAACAAGGACGTTGCTAACATGTCAGAGCTATGAGATTGTGTATCATTCATCTTAATACTAACTTGTTATTAAAGTCTAGTATGATGTTATTCAAAACTATTGTAATACAAGTTTTTTGAGTAGTTAATCATACATCAATCTTGTTTTAATTTGAATATACAATATCATCATAAATAATCTCAAGGAAAGACTCTAAAATTATGTATTTTTAATTGAAGCCTTGGATCAAAACTCATTCAATTTTGAATTTTATACAGCCAATTTAAAGTTTAAGTTTGTTTACAGAAGTAATGTAGTTTGGTATAATAAACAGTGTTTTAAAACCAAGCTGCAGATTTGAAATCTGATAAATAAATATAAAAAAATATAAATATAATATATTTATATATCTTTTTTTGTGATGTATTTTTAATTCTTGTTTTATTTTCATATTTATTTTTAAATTATTTAATTCCATTCTTTGTAAATCAAATAAATCAAGTTTTCTTTTTTGATATGATCAATTATGATAAAAAAACAGCAAATAATATCTATCAGTAATGCAATAATCATTAATTTGTTATCAATGATAAACACAAGTTCAAATTATAAAAACTAATTTTATTAAAGTAATTCTGTTGATAAAAAATAATATAAAAATGTAAAAACTGCATACAGGTAATTTTTGCTTTTTGTTATTTTATTCATACATCAAGTGCAGCATATAATCATTGCTTCATTCTTCTGTCTTCACAATCCACTTATTTATTGCATTAATATGTTTCATCATCTCAATTTTCAAATTATGATTCAAACATAAATACGTTGATGTCCAAAATTAAATCAACAAATGCAAAATCTGAGCAAAAATCAACACTATGAAGTGAGAATAGAAAACTAATGTCACATGTAAATAAACAAAGTGCCAACCTATCACATAAATGTCATGCAAATGAGGCAAGATAGCAGCATATCCATGCAACAATTTCTGCTAGAACTGCTAACAGTAACATTTTCCAGATACTTCCATAGCTTTTCAGGCATATCTCAGAAGACATTTGAATGATTCAGAGTGACAGGCGGCCATTCATTTCTGCATTTTTGCATTTACATATTTATTGCATCTTAAAATGATAAAAATTACATTGAGATACGATAGAAATTTATATATGAATTTATTATTTTTTGCCATGAACATTTGTGTGTTGCTTTAATTTTAGACACGAGTGTACCTAAATGAATATTATTTCAATCTCCTACCTATCCTTGGAGTCAGTTTACAACGTCTAATTAAATTCTTAATTTTTTGGGTATCATCAAATAGTTTTGACTGACAGTTCCATAGAGTAAAACAGACTGGAGTGCAAATGAAGAAAACTGATTCTAACAGTAAAATAATGTGACTGAAACAAAAATCTTATATTAAATCTGTGTCTTGTTATGTGAGTTAGCAACACAAACATGTTGAGAACATCACATGGTACAGATTTGTTCAGTGAATGAATTGGTATCACATGATGTTCTCAACACATCTGTTTGCTACACATATAACTCAAAACTATGCACTCATGTTATTTTCTAAATAACCACTCACCACACCGAAATTATTATAATGACACACTGAACCAATTACAGTGTGATAATAAAACAACAAAAACAAACGTTTTCAAACCCCTTCTGGGCTCCAGCATCAGGTTCTTAACCATTCCTAGATGGTTATTTGATAATGGTTTTACAGTCCATCAGAAACTGAAGATGAGT